TTCAGCCTTTTCTGGTGGATAAAAACTACAAAGTATGCCTTCTTTTATGTCTAGAAACACTAAGGCAATATCTTGTACGGTGAAGGTGCTAAAATGGTTTCTTGGTTCACAGACAACACTCTCCCTCCCAAGCTCAACCCACTTTGGACACAACAACATAATAAAGAAGAAATTACCTGACTCAATTAAATGCAAACAAAGCACTTCTAATGGATATTGCTCAGTGGGATAGAGATCTATCATTCCTTCACAGGCCTTCTTCAACCGAGCCGTCTCATGAGGAAACTACAAAATATCAAAGAAAAATAAACTAAGTTCCAGCACCAGTAAAATATATTTGTGAATACTCTGCTATTTTAAAGCATATAAGTCACAGAACAGAGATGTTTTCAGTCAATTTACCTTGGACAGACACTGAATGAACTGTCTATAAAGTACTCGGTGATCTTCACTCGGAACCCTCTCTGTTAAGTCCAGTGCATTCTCAAAAGCTGTGAGAAGCTGAAACAAATGAAAAGCAATTATCTGTAGCATATTTAAATGATCCATGTAATAACTGGCAGAATGCATGTGACTCCCTTGTATAAGTCATACCCTTAACTAACTGAAAATATACATCATTGCCTGGTCCTAACAATTTCATGTGAAAAGAAAAAGAAATTATATGTACATATAAATTTTGGAACTCTGACCAGTAGACATCACTGAACTCATACTTGTCAACGATAAATGAGAAAAATGCATTTAATTCAACACATTTTCTGTTTCTTGTCCTCTCCAAAGCAGATAGTCAGAGGAATTATATTTGTATATATAGTCTGGCATAAGGGTTTTTTGAAATATAAATAAAATTAATCTAAATGGAAAATAGGTGCTACATTTTTTAACATATTTAAAGAAAGCAGTTATCATTAGCATTTGAGATTTAAAACACCTTAAATTTCTTTTTCCTAAATTTTAACAGATAGAAATCAATTTTTAAAATTTCAAGGATAGAACAGGGCACTAACCCACCCACGGGGAGCATACTGTTTATGTATTCACAAGAAAGGGAGAGAAGGACCAGACCTCATCCCGGTGTGCCAAGCCTTGAGGGCAACATACTGGCAAGGTGCAGTCAAACAAGAGAGGGCTGTGGGCCGGCTCCAATCCCAGCTACGCTGACCCCCTCCAAAAGAATGCACTACAGAAGTCAGCACTGATGTGGTCCTCTCTGCAGCTAGTGCACAGAGAGGACCACAGGGCTGGCCCCACCATGAGATGCGAAGTGCCCAAACTGACCCACAGCACTACAGGGGACAGCCCTGGAGACACAGTGTGGGAATTGTGCCTAGTCTGACCCCACACACACACACACACATACACACCTACACTGGGGCGAAATGCGAAGAATGCGCAATAGGGCAGCAAGGGGAACAAAGCAACAAAGACTCGAGGAACCCTAAAGATAGACTTCTTACTCAGGGGCAGGGCTTGGCACCTCATCAGACCTGATCAGAAAACATTCATAAGGGTCAACAGGCAAACCAGGAACTACTTATAGGCTTTTTTTTTTAACCACCTATGTCTATCTATATAATGTAGGCAGGATTGTTTACAATCCAGAGGAGAAAACAACGGGACCAACAGTTGGGGCTGGGGATGGATGGGACATGGTGGGAGAGGTGGTGGGGGAAAGGGATTGGGGAGCCAACACACCCAGGGACAAGGGAACAACAAGAGATCTAAAATCAATGGTGAGGAGAGTGTAGAATGCCTGGTGGAGTTGATCAAGTGAAATGTAGCTGAGAGAAATTACTGAGAGTTGAATGAAGGTCGAACACAATAGAGGGACAGGAGGAAAGTAAAAGGAAATAGAGGAAAGAACTAGGAGATAAAGGATATTTATAGGGAGATAAATAAATACAGGCACTGCATATATAAATATACTTATATACAATGATAGGGATGTATATCTATGTACATATGTTTATACGCTAAGTATGAAGGTAGCAGACTAACATGAGGCCTCCCTCAGTGCAAAAACACTTTGTTCTAATAACCCGACATTCTGTAATGCACACCTTCCTATCAAGATCTCCAAAGACAAAATGGGTACATAAACAAATGTGATGAAGAAAGCTGATGGTGCCTGGCTATTAGAAGATCTAGTGTCTGGAGTCTTAAAGGACTCAAGTTAAACAAGCAGCCATCTAGCAGGGAAGCAACAAAGCCCACATGGAAGAAGCACACCAGCCTGTGTGATCATGAGATGTCAACAGGATCAGGTCTGAAGCATCAGAAGACCCAAAACAAACAATCAAATCGATAAACAAGGGGGGGATCAGAATGGAGACCCAAATCCCATTTATAGACAATGGAACATCTCCTCACAGAAGGGTCACAAGGAAGGGACAAGTCAGCCAGGGTGCAGTATAGCACTGTTGAAACACATGTTCCTCTAGTTCTTTAATGCTTCCTCCCCGCACCACTATCATGACCCCGGTTCTACCTTACAAATCTGGCTAGACCAGAGCATGTACACTGGTACAGATATGAGCTTTCAACACACGGAATCCAGGATGGATAAACCTCTCAGGATCAGTAATGGAAGTAGCAATATCATGAGGGTAGGGGGAAAGTGGGGGAGAAAGAGGGAACTGATCACAAAGATCAACGTATAATCCATCCCCCCAGGGGGACAAACAACAGAAAAGTGGGTAAAGGGAGACAG